TATAATTTTTTTGTAATCATGAAGTTCTTATGTTTATTCCACAGAAAATCCTATTATTTATTTTTTCACCCATGAAGAGTATATGATAGCCGTATTTTTTTGTAATCATGAAGTTCTTATGTTTATTCCACAGAAAATCCTATTATTTATTTTTTCACCCATGAAGAGTATATGATAGCCGTTTTGACATTGTAGTTTGATATTGTTCTAGCTTAGTTAAAATTACATACATATTATTCATTCTGCATACATTATGTAGACATATGGACTCCTGATTATCCCAAGTTCTCAATTAACTTTACCAGATCATTAAGAAAGGTATGGACACTTCGTAATTACCACGGAATTCTCACCTTACTGATAATTTAATGTTCAAAATACGTAAAATATTTCACTAATACAAGAGTTAATTTTTCTTCTTCGTTTTCATTTATTTATTACTACAAATTTGACTTCTTCGACGCTCTACTGCTTTAGAAGGTTAAAGGTATCGTGAATACACATATATCTCTCGGTTTATGTAAAGGTACAGCTGAACTTTTAAACGATACATTTTTAACGCCCACAACCTAAGGATGATTATGAATTTTGTTGTCATAAATATTGGACTAAGTGTATTAACAGTTAGGGCCAAGATTTATTTTTCATAAGGCGAAGTAATATAGAACGTCTAAGCAGTGACTTCTTACTGTTATGTGAATAATGTTAGTGGTACTTATCATATAATTATTTAAGTATGACCGCTTGTCATTTATACATTTGTGAATAGAACACACGGCTGGATGAAAAAAACAAAAACAATATGTAATCATGTTAGAGTAATCTTTCATGAAGGTTGTAGTCATGCTCGCATGGCTATCAGCAAGAGACAATCTCTAGTACGTTCATAGAAAAGATGGCTCATGGTATTGAAAGGCTTTAAACATCATCCTGCACGATCTATAAAGAGGATAAGATTGTGTCAGAATATAAACTTACCAGCAATGATGAATGACCGTTTCAGATCCCCCAGAAGTTACTCTAACAGCAAACAGGAAGAAAATCATGGAGTTCGATGATGTTCAATTCACTTGTGACGCAGTTGCGAATCCTGGGGACGTAACATACAAGTGGTATAGGTAGGTGGACTTAATATTTTAACCTTTTTTTGTTTGAAAGTGTTTTCATTCATCCCACATCTACAGTTTTTTGTTGATTACCCTTATTTAACATTAAGCCATGAAAAAAGTGCTTTTATTCACATTTATGGAGTGGTTTGGCATTTCAACCATTTTTTTTCTCCTGTTTTAGCAAATCGTGACGATATATATTGGTGATCCTGAATTCACAATAAAATTCCAAAGGAAATGAAACAAACACGTAAAAGTATTGATTTACTCACAAAACTGTGAACAAACTAAAGTATGACATTTAAGCATAAAACAGGTATTTTATTTTAAGAAGGATGCCTGCGCTAAAGTTATTTATAATAGCAACAATGAATTATCCCCTAAAACGATGTATAAAAATATAATACTTGGAAAGTACTATTAGACATTACAAACTATCGAAATTATACGTTTGTCTTAAACTTTAGAAAGCCATACCTTCATACACTCGTACAAGTGATTGAAATGACTCAGTAGGTCAGAAACACACAACGGAGTTTAAAAGGAAACTCGCATATCAATATTATATAACAGTGTTTTGTTTTACAGGAATAACCAGTTAGTCCAGCAGGACCATGCCACTACTTTTAGGATTCCCAAAGTCACAAGACAACTCAACAGACAGACAGTTAGTTGCGAAGTCGGCAATAAAATCGGGACAACGAAATCCACTTATACTTTGAACATTCATTGTAAGTGCATAAAATCAAGAAAAATAATAGAATAATGATATTACCGACAGAAAGATAAACCAGGAAGACACTTGTAAGTTATTACTAGAATGAAACCAGGAAGACACTTGTAAGTTATTACTAGAATGAAACCAGGAAGACACTTGTAAGTTATTACTAGAATGAAACCAGGAAGACACTTGTAAGTTATTACTAGAATGAAACCAGAAAGACACTTGTAAGTTATTACTAGAATGAAACCAGGAAGACACTTGTAAGTTATTACTAGAATGAAACCAGAAAGACACTTGTAAGTTATTACTAGAATGAAACCAGAAAGACACTTGTAAGTTATTACTAGAATGAAACCAGAAAGACACTTGTAAGTTATTACTAGAATGAAAAATGCAAGTTACCTTTAATCTATGGTCTACTGTATACGGTGATTGGAAGACGACTGATACGACATATAAGCTCTGGAAGACAACTGATACGACATATAAGCTCTGGAAGACAACTGATACGACTTATAAGCTCTGGAAGACAACTGATACGACATATAAGCTCTGGAAGACAACTGATACGACTTATAAGCTCTGGAAGACAACTGATACGACTTATAAGCTCTGGAAGAGAACTGATACGACTTATAAGCTCTGGAAGACAACTGATACGACTTATAAGCTCTGGAAGAGAACTGATACGACTTATAAGCTCTGGAAGACAACTGATACGACTTATAAGCTCTGGAAGAGAACTGATACGACTTATAAGCTCTTTTTGATAATGAACAATTTACTGAAATTATAAAGATATTGAATTTATAGACGATTTAAGTTTCATGAAAACCAGATGTTAGTCTGTATAAAGATATTCTCTTCTTGATATGAAGGTTCCTTTCATACTGTGACAGAGTTATGCTTTTAGTGGGTTGATAAAAAGATAGTAATTTGCTGTAGCAGTGATAGTGCTGAATCTAGCATTAATATGTCCTCTGGACTGCAGACAGAGTAAATCACAAGCACTACGCACAAAAACAAATATTGATAAATAATGAGCATATGTTAATTCTTTAGAATCTGATTTTTGTAATTGAAAGTCTAGATTCAGTCAAAATTGTAAAGAATAGATACACTTGTACTTTAGAATACAACGGTCATGAGAGATCACAAGCTGTATAAACTTGTACTTTAGAATACAACGGTCATGAGAGATCACAAGCTGTATAAACTTGTACTTTAGAATACAACGGCCATGAGAGATCACAAGCTGTATAAATTTGTACTTTAGAATACAACGGCCATGAGAGATCACAAGCTGTATAAACTTGTACTTTAGAATACAACGGCCATGAGAGATCACAAACTGTATAAACTTGTACTTTAGAATACAACGGCCATGAGAGATCACAAGCTGTATAAACTTGTACTCTAGAATACAATGGCCATGAGAGATCACAAACTGTATAAACTTGTACTTTAGAATACAACGGCCATGAGAGATCACAAGCTGTATAAACTTGTACTCTAGAATACAATGGCCATGAGAGATCACAAGCTGTATAAACTTGTACTTTAGAATACAACGGCCATGAGTGATCACAACCTGTAAACTCAGTCGGTTTACGTTAATTGATAAACTCCGTATGTTTACTTTAACTGATAAGTTCAGTCTGTTTACGTTAACTGATAAACTCAGTCGATTTAGGTTAACTGATAAGCTCAGTCTGTTTACTTTAATCGATAAACTCAGTCTGTTTACTTTAATCGCTAAAATCAGTCTGTTTACATTACCTGATAAACTCTCTTGGTTTAATTAACTGATATATTCTGTCGATTTACGTTAACTGATAACTACAGTAGGTATACGTTAAATGACAAACTCTGTCGGCTTACGTTAACATTGTTACTAAGGATCTGAACGAAATAATTGTATGATGAAAGTATACCCACTAACAGTCAGAAATCTAATCTCGATGAAACTAATATTGTATTATTAATTTTATAATATATTTACACTCAAGTTTCCAGTCTCATAGTGTGTTGGAAAAATCCATGGGACAATTCAATAGAATATTAGTTGCCCCCACAGTGGCACAATGGTATGTCTGCGGACTTTTACCGCTAGAAACTGGGTTTCAATACCTGTGGTGGGTAGAGTACAGATAGCCCTTTGTGTAGCTTTGTACTTAATAACAAACAACAAGAATATTAGTTACAACAAACTTAGTTAATTATAAAATAACTACAAAAAGTTGTGTTGAATTTCTTCTTTTTTTCACTTATTCCCTGCATATATGCACAGAAACTGACCTATAAATATTAGACTTCACTTATTCCCTGCATATATGCACAGAAACTGACCTATAAATATTATACTTCACTTATTCCCTGCATATAGTGCACAGAAACTGACCTATAAATATTAGACTTCACTTATTCCCTGCATATAGTGCAAAGAAACTGACCTATAAATATTAGACTTCACTTATTCCCTACATATAGTGCACAGAAACTGACCTATAAATATTAGACTTCACTTATTCCCTTCATATAGTGCACAGAAACTGACCTATAAATATTAGACTTCACTTATTCCCTGCATATAGTGCAAAGAAACTGACCTATAAATATTAGACTTCACTTATTCCCTTCATATAGTGCACAGAAACTAACTGACCTATAAATATTAGACTTCACTTATTCCCTGCATATAGTGCAAAGAAACTGACCTATAAATATTAGACAAACGACATTTTTTCTGTTATTCAAATTCTTATTGTTTTATGGTTTTTCAAACTATAGATATTATAAGGTTTATTTAATATACAATAAATTCTAAACCAACTGAATCATTCGACAGTTTTATTTTCTCACTAAAACAGTTTTAACTGCCGTCATTTTTTTAGATGGTCCGGTATTTAAGTCATCTTTAGAAAACATAGCCGCAGATTTAAATAAGGAAGTGCGATTGGTCTGTCCTGTTGATAGTAATCCTCCTCCTAAAATAACCTGGACATTCGAAAAGAGCACTCACGTCGTCGGGACCGATATAGTGCTGGTGATCCCACAAGTGCGACCAGACAGAACAGGAAAATACACTTGTACAGCATCAGTACCAGGACTTCCTGAACTGTCTTCCGACTCGTTCGTCTACATCAAAGGTAGTCTATGTTTAATTGACATCGTATAGCACACTCAAGTCAATCGTATTTACTTAATAGTAATCCATAAAAAAATTATACATAATAATGACTCGTTCGTCTGGATCAAAGGTAGTCTATGATATAACAAAAATATTTAAAAACGTTTAATTGACATCGTATAACACACTCAACTCAATCGTATTTACTTAATAGTAATCCATAAAACAATGTACATAATAATGACTCGTTCGTCTGTATCAAAGGTAGTCTATGATATAACAAAAATATTTGAAAACGTTTAATTGACATCGTATAGCACACTCAAGTCAATCGTATTTACTTAATAGTAATCCATAAAACAATGTACATAATAATGACTCGTTCGTCTGTATCAAAGGTAGTCTATGATATAACAAAAATATTTAAAAACGTTTAATTGACATCGTATAACACACTCAACTCAATCGTATTTACTTAATAGTAATCCATAAACAAATTATACATAATAACAACACTCATTTCAGATCAGTTTCTTAGATATGTGTTGTCTTGTAATAGAATAAACAAGACATCCGAATTTTTTCAGGTCCTCCCGTCATAAAAGGACCTGATGTTCAGTACGGTATTGAGGGGCAAAAGGTGAAGGTGGAATGTTTAATCACATCAGTGCCCGAACCTTCCCGAGTAGTGTGGATGAAACGGTCACAGGTATATTTCATTCAAATACATAATATGTTTCTGTGCCCAAATCTTCTCGATTTCTCTAGACAAAGAAAAATTATTTTCGTAAATTTATACATATTCTATCAATGAGGAAAAAATAAACGGTCATTATACACTTTTCAATGAAATGTTTAAATTTTCCATCTATTGTGACTCAAATTATGCTCAGCTAATAAGGATCATAACGGGATTAATGCTGTTTTAGAATGGGGGATTTTGTGGTAGAAATTATTGTTGGAGATAAATTATGTTCAGCGAATAAGGATCATAACGGGGTTAATGCTGTTATGGAATATGGGGGATTTTGTGGTGAAAATTATTGTTAGAGATAGATTATGTTCAGCTAATAAGGATCATAACGGGGTTAATGCTGTTATAGAATGGGGGATTTTGTGGTAGAAATTATTGTTAGAGATAAATTATGTTCAGCGAATAAGGATCATAACGGGGTTAATGCTGTTATGGAATATGGGGGATTTTGTGGTGAAAATTATTGTTAGAGATAAATTATGTTCAGCTAATAAGGATCATAACGGGGTTAATGCTGTTATAGAATGGGGGATTTTGTGGTAACAGCTATGGTACAGCGTAATTAGAGACCTATGGAGCACCACAGAAAAGATACATTAAAATAATCTATCAAGTGACAGTGATATTTACATAACACTACTAGAAGTTTGGAGAGTGATACACTTTACCGTGAAGGTAGAAATATTTTCAATAGTTGAAAACTTGCTCACCGCTACGTTTATCCAAATCACTTTACCGTGAAGGTAGAAATATTTTCAATAGTTGAAAACTTGCTCACCGCTACGTTTATCCAAATCACTTTACCGTGAAGGTAGAAATATTTTCAATAGTTGAAAACTTGCTCACAGCTACGTCTATCCAAATCACTTTACCGTGTAGGTAGAAATATTTTCAATAGTTGAAAACTTGCTCACCGCTACGTTTATCTAAATCACTTTACCGTGAAGGTAGAAATATTTTCAGTAGTTGAAAACTTGCTTAATGCTACGTTTATCCAGATTTGTGAAAGTGGCAGTTCTTACTAAGAACTGTAAATCAGAACTCTTAAAATATACTAATTGATTAGAGCTAGAATTCTTTATAGCTAGTTTTGAAGTGGTGAGTTCAGTTTTTATAATTAATTGTTAATTAAAAAATGGCCCGTTTCTTGTGAAGATATAATTATTTTTTTTAAGTGAAAAGAGAGTTAGCTAAGTGGAAAGCTTAGTCAAAGTATCTAGCTCAAAGACAGAGATTATTGTTCGAGGTCCAGATATTTTATATTTGTGTCGGTTCATGAAGTATTGACGTCCTAGTAGCTGTGATGCCGTCTAGCGCCCTCTTCTGGAAGGTATCAAAGAATAATGATGAAAACAGTATAATTATATTTCAATGAACTAGTTAAGAAGACCAGAAAACCCGAAACCAAGGTAACTACGACGTGATGCTGGAAAGAATTAAAAGCATTACACGTGAATAATCAGACATGTTGAATGTGTATTACTGTAATGGAATAAAGTGAAAAAGCGAAATTATTAAATTAGATTGTTATAATGTAGGTTGGATCGGATAACCAAGAGCAGTTTTATTCATAAACCATAATATAACTAATAAACCATAATTTAACTAATAAACCATAATTTAACTAATAAATTATAATATAACTAATAAACCATAATATAACTGATAAACGATAATTTAACTAATAAACCATAATATAACTGATAAAAAATAATATAACTAATAAACCATAATTTAACTAATAAATTATAATATAACTAATAAACCATAATTTAACTTAGATTATAATAGAACTAATAAACCATAATTTAACTAATAAATTATAATATAACTAATAAACCATAATATAACTGATAAACCATAATATAACTAATAAACCATAATTTAACTAATAAACCATAATATAACTAATAAACCATAATATAACTAATAAACCATAATATAACTGATAAACCATAATTTAACTAATAAACCATAATATAACTGATAAACCATAATTTAACTAATAAACCATAATATAACTGATAAACCATAATTTAACTAATAAACCATAATATAACTGATAGATTATAATATAACTAATAAACCATAATATAACTGATAAACCATAATTTAACTAATAAACCATAATATAACTAATAAACCATAATATAACTAATAAACCATGATATAACTAATAAACCATGATATAACTAATAAACCATAATATAACTAATAAACCATAATGTAACTAATAAACCATAATATAACCAATAAACCATAATATAACTGATAAACCATAATATAACTAATAAACCATAATATAAGTAACACATTGTGTAACTCAAGTATCTTTACATGTTTGCATTACGATTTACGAAGACCGTGAGAATGAATCGTTTAAATAGTGTTATCAGATTAATTTCCATGAAATTCAAATATAGATAGGTATGTAAGTGTCGCTAAAAATTTGTAGATCATTCTGGAATATTTATTTGTCACATAAGACATATTTCATACTCAACACAACGGAAAAGATCAAATAGTGCATTTGTCGCTCAGCTAATATGTTGTATGTGTTGTGTATCGATCTATGAGCTAATTCACAACACTTTTGTATGCTTATTATTTTGAAGGCAATGCAATGAATTACAAGTCTGGGTAAAACCTTAGGGTAATTACGATTATTCTAGTTGTGTGCACGTACTAGATTCAATATCATATCCTTTCAGTAATGAATAATAGAATTTCTAGTAATAGTCTTTTTAAGAAAAGACCTTCTATAGTTACTCCAACCTATCTTCACAACTTGGAATGAAAGGCCGTCACGGACAGCAAACTTTGTTGGTGATAATTAACGATACTGAACTATTGAGAGCACTAAGACTGTCACCTTTCACAAGTTGCTAATTACGGAGTCCGTGCTCCTTGTCTCATTGTTGGTCGTGTTTTCTTGGTTTAGGTGGTTGATATTGACAACACGGAAGGCTACGAGATCGTGACAGAGCACTTACCGAACGGTCTCAAGAACTTGCTAATCATCCACAGAGCAGAGGAGACTGACTTCGGGGACTATAATTGCTCCGCTTGGAACGCTTTAGGCCACGACAGCATGTTGATATCTGTCAGAAGACAAAGTAGGTTTATTATTGTTATTTTAAATGTATGATTCTAATTTTATTCAGGTTCTTTTCTGGTACTGAAAGCACGTGTCTTTTATACTTGGATATTACTCTAACCTTTTGCAGTACCGTGATATTTATATCACAGTAGTTAAAGTAACAAGTTTGTGGTACCATGATATATATATCACAGTAGTTAAAGTAACAAGCATGTAGTACCGTGATATATATATATATATATATATAGTATTTAAAGTAACAAGTTTGTGGTACCATGATATATATATCACAGTAGTTAAAGTAACAAGCATGTAGTACCGTGATATATATATATATATATATATAGTATTTAAAGT